CTGTTCACAAATGCTCCCCATCCAACCTCACTGAGCTCGAGCTGTTTTTCAAGGAAGAATGAGCAAGAATTCCAGTCTCTCGATGTGCAAAACTGATAGACATACCCCAAGCGACTTGCAGCTGTAATTGCAGCAAAAGGTGGCGCTACAAAGTATAAGCGCAAGGGGGCCGAATAATATTGCATGGCCCACTTTTCAGTTTTTTTTTTTTTTTTAAAGTTTAAATTATCCAATACATTTCGTTCCACTTCACAATTGTGTCCCACTTGTTGTTGATTCTTGGCAAAAATTGTAATTTTTATATCTTTGTTTGAAGCCTGAAATGTGGCGAAATGTTGAAAGGTTCAAGGGGGCCAAATACTTTCGCAAGGCACTGTATAGCACAGAAAGTATAGGTACAAGAAAAGGTCACAGGGAGTCAAAGATATGAAGACCAAAAAGGTACATAAACAAATACACTTCCAAAACTAAAATCTGTTTTCAAATAAAAAAAGACATTACAACCTTAAACCAAGTAGAAGTTAACAGTATCGTCCAGAAAGTGCAGTTACGTGTAATTAAGTGCTATTGTCTTGGCTCATTACTTGACAGTCTTCCCCCAAACGTGTCTTGAGTCTTGAGTCACGGTCAGAGGATTCACATTGGACCATGTTTCTGTAATCCTCAATCCCAGAGAGAGAGAGAAAAGCCCAGGCACAGTATCGCTGCCTAAGCCAACATGGTGGAGGGGACTGGATGTTTTTTCCTCTCAGCACCATCTGGCACCGCTCGAGAACATATTGTCCCGTACCTGAGCCGGAGCTGGAGGTGACATAACACAATCAATTAGCTGACACAGGTGTTGTGTTTCCGCTGCACAGTTTTTATGCAACAGTCCTGGACACTGGAACATACAGGTGTGCGAGTGACCTTTACACGGACAACTTTATGTGAAAGAATGAGTCTGTCAGGTTCACAACAGCGGTCACCTCAGAGGACTGCACAAAGTTGTCAATTGCTCTCTCTCTCTCTCTGGGTACACTGTGGTCCTATTCGGGCCTCATTCTGGCCTCACTCTGGTCTCACCCTGGCCTCTCTTTGGTCTGTCTCTGATCTTTCTTTCGTCTCTCTCTGGTCTCACTCTCTCGTCTCTGTCCGGTGTTTCTCTGGTCTTTCTCTAGTCTCTCTCTAGTCTCTCTTTGGTCTCACTCTGGCCTCTCTCTGGTCAGTCACTGATCCCTTATTAGTCTCTCTCTCTGGTCTCTGTCTGGTCTCACTCTGGTCTCTCTCTGGCCTTACTCTGGCGTCACTCTGGTCTCTCTCAGGCCTCACTGGTCTCACTCTGGCCTCTTTCTGGTCTGTCTCTGATCTCTTTTTAGTCTCTCTCTCTGGTTTCTGTCTGGTCTCACTGTGGCCTCTCTCTGGCCTCACTCTGGTCTCACTCTGGTCTCTCTCTGGTCTCTCTCTTGTCTATTTCTGGTCTACATGATCTATGTATGATTAGAAACTGATGTATATGATCTATGTATGATGAGAAATGTACTGAATGTGTTAATGTATCAACTGAATGTGTGGTTGTGACATGTGTATTGTGTAGGTGTGATGCTGTGAATGAAGTGTGGTTTTAACAAACAGGTATGAGGCTAAATGTGTGTGTCTGTATTAGAGAGAATGTGTTGTATTGCAAAGTTATTTTTTTAGGATTGTACATTACTGTATCCATGTATTTTATTGATGTAACCAGGGACTGCAGATGGAAACTAGCTGTTTAGCTATAAACTGGTGCAGAATATATCTGTCTTTGAGCTTAATGTCTCTGTACACTGTCCCTTCAAATAAAGACTAAACTAAACTAAACTCTGTCCTCACTCAGCTGTCTCTCAGGCCTCACTCTGGTCTCACTCTGGATCTCTTTTTAGTCTCTATCTGATCTCTGTCTGGTGTCACTCTGGCCTCTCACTCTGGTTTCACTCTAGGCTCTCTCGGGTCTCTCTCTGGCCTTACTCTGGCCTCCCTCTAGTCTCTCTATGGTCTTCTCTGACCTATCTCTGGTCTCACTCTGTTCTCTCTCTGATCTCATTCTGGCCTCGCTCTCTGGTCTCTCTCTGGCCTCACTCTGGTCTCACTCTAGTCTCACTCTGTTCTCTCTCTGGTCTCACTCTGGCCTCGCTCTATGGTCTCTCTCTGGCCTCTCTCTGGTCTCTCACTGGTGTCAGTGTTATGATCTGTGACCCTCTCTCTTGCCAACCCAAAGAAACCATAAACACTAGTTCCCAGTGTCATCCAGCCAACTTCAATTCTGCCATTATATAAGCATGTTAAACCTTGCAGAGCTCACGGCCATGGGGATTGTTGACTTTGTTTCACTGTTGTTTTCCGCTATTATCTCTCTCTGGTGTCTGGTCTCTCTCTAGCCCACCGTGGTCTCACCCTGGTCTCACTCTAGTCTCTCTCTGGTCTCTTTCTTTTTGACTCTCTCCCTAATCTCTCTCTCTGGTCTCTCTTGTATCCGTCTCTTATCACTCTCTGGTCTCTTTCCGGTCTCTCTTTCTTATCTCTCTCTCGCCTCTTTTGCTCTCTACACGTTCAGATGACTTACATAAAGATTATTAACGACGGCAACTTTAAATACGACTAAACAGAATTGTAAAACATAAGACAAGGCCATTTCAGTCGCACGGTCCAGCACTTTTCAACCGCTTACATTTGAATAGAATTAAGCTCTTAATGATGCCTCTTTCATTAGTACATTTGTCCAGTTAGCTGAAAAGACCGTTCTTATCTCCGACTCAATGCTTTTTTGACGAACTATACACTGTGTGCTTTCTTACTGATAAACTTTCATTAGCATTAAAGGCCATTGGGTGATGTTGTACGGCTTAATATAGAAGCTGTACATAATGGATGAATGGTTGGAGTGCTTTATCAAAAACCCCAGTCAGCGTAGAAGATGCATTTTCCTTGGCTGTAATGTGCCATATGCTCACCAGGGAAGCAACGCAATTACCCATGTCTAAATCAAAGTGACAAGGACGTTCCATCAATTATTCGCACATTGTTGTTTGTTTATGCTTAATATCGCGGAGAGAGAGAGGGTAAAAAAAAAAAAAAACACGACTACTCGACAAACATTTCACAAGAGAAAGAAAATCTGCCAAACAACGGCGCACTTTGTCGGGAATGACATCCATAACTTTGTTTTGAGGGTTGTTTGGCTGCTAATTAGGGTGTGGGTACATTAGTTAAAAACAGTAGCTTTTGAGAATACTGTTTTGTATGCTCGGCGGATGGCGGCGGTGAACCAGACCTGAACTTTAAATCCACTATTTGGTAAACAGATGAGGGAGAAGGCAAGCTTAAAAAAAACTGGTGAATCCAGCTCCAACTAATCAATGCTATTATTGTGTCTTTCGGGAAGATAAGTTATTCACCTCAGACCTTGTCCTGGATCTATAGCCTGTCCGTTCATGGGATTGGATTTCTCTCTCGTTCAAAATGTGCCTTTCGAGGTTTCTCACACTGTTTTGAATTGTTATTCCTTGATGATCTAAAGACAGAGATGATCCCAGATATGTATACTGTATGTATTTAAGGACATTTTGAGACATTCTTTTACATTAAAGGAGCAGTATGTAAAAATCTGGCCAAAAGCGGTGCTGCAACCTCTCCCTCTATCCCTGACTCAGGTTGCCAGATATGCAGCATGCATCCAGCTTGGACCATAATAACTGAATATAAATGTTTTGTTTAGTTTCATCAACAACAAATCCCTAACCAACACCTTTTTCACAAAGATAGAAATCCTGGTTTTATTCCTTGTTTGTCATTAATGATTTGAGAATAATAACGAAACCTTATTAGTTCTGTTGCCATATATGAGTTCTGGCAACGCAGATCCCAGACTTTCTGATTGGTATAACGGTGGAGGGCGGGACATTGAAATGAAAACAATAACAAGATTCAGGGGCTGTAGAACTAGCTTACATTTTGACATATTAGGGCCATTTAATGATGACTTAAAACATTTTACAAATTTTTACTTTAAACGTATTTGGTAGCGATGGGAATTTATTTTAATCTGAGGGCCAAATTTATCATTTACAAATAAATTATGATGACGTCTTCTGTTGATGATTGATTAGGATGTATGTATCTACACAGTGAACTCTCAATAATGCTGAGTGTATGTGACGTGGCGACCATCTGCGTGTCATACTTCAGAAAGTCCAGACCGTGTTGCTGAGAAGGGAGAAAATGGGTTCGTAAACATTATAGTAACAGCTGTGAAGAGGCTTGATAGGAATGGGGAAAAATGGCCGTAGTTTGCCCATATCTGGTCATTGTTCATCCAGGGCCATGGCTCCTACAGTATGTGTTTGTTATTCTTACAATTCATTTCATTTCGTCGTTAGACCTATAATGAAAGTGATAACGGTGAATCCTAAAACATGTGAACTTGTATTTGAATGTAGCCCTAACAATTTTATTGATAGCTCCCAAGTGCAAACTGTAGATGAGTGCAAGTTTCTGGGTTTAAATCTGTCTAATGATGAGAAATGGGACCAATAAAAACCGCTAAATCAGGCTGATAAGCTATATCGACGCCGTCTTTTTCTGCTGAGAATTTACCTCAAACTCTTGGATTCTGCTTAACTTTAATCACTGCACCATTGAAAGTCTGTCTGGCGCACACTGGGGTACATTTGCACGTGTATTCCAATGTGGTTTTACTGCAAATGGCAAATAGTCTGAATCTCAGTCTGATTTTGAATCCTTATTTTTTGGGTATGATCCAAAAAAAAATCCGAAACATGCTTTCCTGACAGCTTACTGGACTCTCTCTCTCTCTCGTCTCTTCTCGCTTTGGGTGACACAGGTACATCTCCTGTGGCGAGCAGCTGTTTTTGGGTCATCTCCTGAACTCGTGCAAAGAGCTGAGTAAAGACGTGTCCTGACCTCGCTTGTCTCCGCTCTCTCTTCTCTGCCGTTCTTTTAAACAGCGGGGCTAAACGCTGCCGTGCTCAGACTGACAGGTAAACACCGCTGCAGCTGCCGCACTGGCTCCGGCTCGGCTCCAGATGCACGGGCTGCTCAGCGGTGTAGAGCCGAGTCAGGAGTGACACCGGCCATCTGTCGCCAAACTGCACCCACACCAACGAGCGCCTGCGGTGTACTGTAGAAGTCTGAAGGCCGGGGAGAGAGTTAGGGTAAAGATTGAGATGTTCTTTATGTCAGTGTTGTATCACCAGCTACAAAACTGGTCATGCAACAATAAGGGGGTAGTTATTGTTGAATTATGGAATGAATTAACAGGTTTGATTAAATGTTCTTCTTTGTTTGAACATTTGCCGTGCACGTATCACCAGAATAATTGACAATTAAGAGGACCAATAGTCTCTTTTGTACCTCAGTCTATACGGCTGCTGAATAGCCTCCAGTGATTGTGCATTAGTGTCAATGAATGTTATGTTTGTGTTGTCTTTTTTGTGTGTATTGTCTTTTTTGTGTGTATTGTCTGTTATCAATATTTTGATGTCTGTATCTGCTGGTGCTACAGACCCCCCCTGCTCCAAGACAAATTTCTCCCTCATGAGACAACTTAATAAATGAATCTGAATTTGAATCACCCGGAAGTAGAAAATCCACCTTTCAGTTTCAAATGTTTAAAGAATATGAAAAGTGACCTTGTTTATTGTATGTTTTTGTTAAATATGGTACCATACATATAAAGATTCAAAGCTGGTTAAACTGATGGTGTAGAATAGGCCAGTCTTGAAAAAGCTTTGCTTCTGCCTATTCCTTCTTTGGTTGCAATTCATAATAACATATCATGTGTTTGAACTGTAACTTTGTTTATGTGACGACCAAAGTAAGAATTCAATAAATGGCCAAAGTGTGAAAGAAAAATGACAGTCTTTGAACCTCTAACCATATAAAACCAATGCAATATTCTTGCACAGGCAGCAGCTGAGACTTGTCTGTAGTTACCAAGCAACCACAGGGTAAACAAGAACCAAAGCTTACTGCGTTTGCACAATGGTTATGAACTGAAAACTGAAAGAATGGAAAAACATGTTTAAACATTCAGAGATGTGTGTTTCTTTGTGTGGATGACAAATTAGGAGGATTCACTTATTATTCTCACTTTCTGTGAAACATGTGTCTCTCTTTTCCTACAACTTTTAACCGGTGTAAAACTATCTTTAATATCTACTGGCGGTACTCTCTCAAAAATGGTCAAAAATAAAAGTCATGAGAACAGCCCACAAACACATGCACTACAACTTTGTCGAACAGTCTTTCCTCAAACAAATAAACAAATGTAATGAGTCAAAACACGATTTATTGTCGAGGAGTCTTTTGAAGGCTTTTAGGCAGCTGTAAGTACGTAATGTTTATTCATATAGCGCATTTTACAGACCAAGGTCACCCAAAGCCCTTTACAATGTTCAGAGTTCAGTTAATCATTCCACACACGGTGATGATGAAAGAGAGACTCTTAACACATTCAACACCATCCATTCGCTCACCCATTTACATTCATACTATTTGTGTATGATTTTAGTGGTAGGGGAAATCTGAGCACCCAGAGGAAACCCACACAGTCATGGGGAGAACATGCAAACTGTGATTTCAGATGGTACGAATGTGTGAATGCAGGAAATCTGTATATTCTGAAGATGTATGTACTGACGACATGGAGCACAGGCCAATTTCAAAGGCTATACATTTGTGAACCAGCTCTAAATAATCAATACATCTGTTTATTCAGTTTGGTCCAATACCCTCTGCTTTAAATCACATCAGCGATAATACATCCGCACACAGAACGCACGGTTTACTGCGTCTCTCCCACATCAAAATAATAGTACTTCCCACATTTGTGGAGAACTCCAGGGTTGCTATTCTTCTCTGAGTGATCTTACACAGTTTATAGATGGAAAAATCTAACAAAAGAAACACGAATATGAAAACTAATAAGAGAACCGAACAGTTTTTAGCAAAATAAAGACAGTTTTTTGGGATTTTTTTTCATAAATTTGCGCAGCTTTAATCAATTTCATCAGCGTTTTTCATTCATTATATCAGTATCATCACAACCAAAGACAGGAAAGTTGTAAACAAGGTGCTCTGCTCTGAAAGAAGACTGTGAGATGTGAGTTCGAGAGGGCTATTGGAGCTTTTAAAGTAATCAATGGCTCTTCTGACGTCAGCACTGGTCAGTCCTTTCCTTATACACAGGCTGTGGCTGTGATGGATCACCCATGTGCCAATATGTGCTTCTGTCATGCACCTTAACAATGCACCATAACAAAAATAACATTTGTATTTTCATTCAGAGTCCTGTCTGATAAATGGATGATGTTTTTAGCCATGAGACGTCTTCACATTACAGCATGCAGAGGATGGAGGGGGTCTGAGGACATGGATGAGGGTCTGAGGACATGGATGAGGGTCTGAGGACATGGATGAGGGTCTGAAGAGATGGATGAGGGTCTGAGCAGATGGATGAGGGTCTGAGGAGATGAATGAGGGTCTGAGGAGTTGGATGAGGGTCTGAAGAGATGGATGAGGGTCTGAGCAGATGGATGGGGGTCTGAGCAGATGGATGAGGGTCTGAGGAGATGAATGAGGGTCTGAGGAGATGGATGAGGGTCTGAAGAGATGGATGAGGGTCTGAGGAGTTGGAGGAGGGTCTGAGGAGATGGATGAGGGTCTGAGCAGATGGATGAGGGTCTGAGGAGATGAATGAGGGTCTGAGGAGATGAATGAGGGTCTGAGGAGTTGGATGAGGGTCTGAGGACATGGATGAGGGTCTGGGGACATGGATGAGGGTCTGGGGACATGGATGAGGGTCGGGGGACATGGATGAGGGTCTGAGGAGATGTATGAGGGTCTGAGGAGATGGATGAGGGTCTGAGGAGATGGATGAGGGTCGGGGGACATGGATGAGGGTCTGAGTAGTTGGAGGAGGGTCTGAGGAGATGGATGAGGGTCTGAGGAGATGGATGAGGGTCTGAGGAGATGAATGAGGGTCTGAGGAGATGAATGAGGGTCTGAGGAGATGGATGAGGGTCTGAGGAGATGGATGAGGGTCGGGGGACATAGATGAGGGTCGGGGGACATGGATGAGGGTCTGAGGACATGGATGAGGGTCTGAGGACATGGATGAGGGTCTGAGGACATGGATGAGGGTCTGAGGACATGGATGAGGGTCTGAGGAGATGGATGAGGGTCTGAGGAGACGGATGAGGGTCGGGGGACATGGATGAGGGTCTGAGCAGATGGATGAGGGTGTGAGGAGATGGATGAGGGTCTGAGAAGATGGATGAGGGTCTGAGGACATGGATGAGGGTTTGAGGAGATGGAGGAAGGTCTGAGAAGATGAACGGGGGTCTGAGGACATGGATGAGGGTCTGAGGAGATGGATGAGGGTGTGAGGAGATGGATGAGGGTCTGAGAAGATGGATGAGGGTCTGAGAAGATGGATGAGGGTCGAGAGACATGGATGAGGATCTGAAAAGATGAACGGGGGTCTGAGGACATGGATGAGGGTCTGAAGAGATGGATGAGGGTCTGAGAAGATGGATGAGGGTCTGAGGACATGGATGAGGGTCTGAAGAGATGGATGAGGGTCTGAGGACATGGATGAGGGTCTGAGCAGATGAACGGGGGTCTGAGGACATGGATGAGGGTCTGAAGAGATGAATGAGGGTCTGAGGAGATGAATGAGGGTCTGAGCAGATGAATGAGGGTCTGAGGAGATGGATGAGGGTCTGAGGAGATGGATGAGGGTCGGGGGACATGGATGAGGGTCTGAGGACATGGATGAGGGTCTGAGGAGATGGATGAGGGTCTGGGGACATGGATGAGGGTCTGAGGACATGGATGAGGGTCTGAGGACATGAATGAGGGTCTGAGGAGATGGATGAGGGTGTGAGGAGTGCGCCTTTTCTGCAGTGAAAAGGCGGTATATAAATAATAACTTACTTACTAACTTACTTACTAGGAGTAGGGGGAATCAGAATGTTGTGCGCAGCTTTGAGCCATGGGGTTGTTTACTTCTTGCCAAACAAACAAAAGTCTTCTCTATGAACTAAAGTCTTAAGAAATGACAGAGTCTTCGGTGCGAGCGAATTAGGAGCCTTTAAGACGGATTTTCAAGAGGTTATTTCAAAGCCAAAGGGAGAGTGTTATTTTAATCTCTGCCGTAATGAATTAGGACGTACTTCTAATGGGAAGCTTTTCCTTAGGCTTGATTAAGGCATTACACCCTTACTTGAATTAATGAATACAATGGATAGTTGCACATACGATCTATAAAGCATCTGCCATCCACTTTCTTCCGCTTTATCTGTTGCCGGGTTGTAGGGCAGCAGAGACGTTTAGACTTCCCTCTTTACACACACTTCCTGCAACTCATCCGCAGGAATGAGAGACATAGGCCCTTCAACGTGTCCTGAGTCTACAACAGTCAGATACAGCTTTGACTGCAGACGCTGTTCCCTCTTCACCACAACAGTTTGATACAGCTCTGACTGCAGACGCTGCTCCTTCTTTACCATAACATACACCACATCATTGCATCATTGCTGTAGTGATCCATCTGTCAAAGCATGCTCTTACAAATCAGAATAATGGAAAATTAAACTTTCTGTTGTGATTAAAGATGGCATGCACAAGTTGTGGTGAGATCAAAGCCATCTAACCAAACCAGTTACATTTGATACATCCATGTATAAGGTCTTGAATATAAGCATATTTTTATTTTCTTATCTAGCATTTTGCCAACAGCTGATGGAGCAAAAAAAAGGAGCTGAATTTGACTTTCATACTTCTGGCCCCAATCAGCTCAAATGGTTTTATATTTGGCCCCCAACCAAAATGAGTTTGACACTCTTGCTTTACCACAATACAAAACATACATTGACCACATCACTACACAGGCCGCAAGGTTCAAAGAACTTGGAAAAAGTGGTGGCTTATACAATAATTCGGCAATTATGGTCCTATTGTGGTCCTATCAATAGTTTATATGCACATATTTTTGTCACTCAATTCTAAAACATGCACACACTAGGACTGAGATGGAAGCCTACAGAAAGAAGGGGCAGATGAACGTGTCTGTGTTCCTCAGTCTGGATGTAGCTAAAGCAAATCCAAATACTGTATGTTTTTAACGAGCAAACACTGTCAAAACATAAAAACAAAAAATGCAATTTAGCACTCGCAACATCAAGTACTTTCTGTCTGCATTGATGCGTTCAAAACCAACATATCTGTTCTTTCTCTGTCCCAGTCAGACTCAAACTGAGGGTGAAGAATGTAAAGAATCGTCAATGTCTCTCTCTCTCAGCTGTCAGGACGCCTCCTCTCACTCGCTCACTCTGAACGCTCTTGCAAAAGGCAGAAAAATAAAGTAAAATAGCAGTGGTGTCCTAAAGTGTAGCACTCTCACATCACACGGCTATCAGCTGTCACCGCAGCGTGTTGTGGCAGGTGCCCCAGTGATAACCAGTGTAAGTCAGCCGCACTCTGACGTCTCCATCACAACAGCTACAGCACTGGAAAAAGAAATATCTGTGTACATCCATGCAACAGTTCAGATTGAGATTCATATTCATTTTATTTACCATTGCAGTAAAACCCCATTGGAATACATGTGCAAGAGTACCCCAGTGTGCCCCAGACAAATATATAAAGTAAAACAAGCTAAAAAGAAGTGGAAGGAATAATTGTCACAGTGAAACAAAACAAAAAACATCTTCAATACAAGAGAAAGATCATTAAAGTGCTTTGTTCAAACTGATAATAGCTTACGTAAAAAGCAGTTATCATATCCAGATGTCCTGCATCTCAGCAAACAATGTCTTCCACCAGAGGGAAGAAGCTGGAACATGGCTTTTCCAGGGGCCAGAAAATAAGATTATTCTAGAATCGCAGTTAAAGAGCCTGGATTCATAAAGATGTCTGTGTTGTGTGTCGTGTGTGTGTGTGTGTGTGTGTGTGTGGGTGGTGTTTTAAGAAAGTTCTATACAAATTAGGATGTGCCATAGCCTGTATATAGACAGACAATGCTCAATCCCTAGCTCATTGAAGCCCAATAGAGATGTGCTCATGGACAAAGTTTTGAAAAGTAAACTCCTCTGGAGCTCTGTAACTGTTTGTGTAAAACTGATTATTTTGAGTAAAACTGTAAAGTTTGAGAAAAAAAAACTGCAAAAAGTGAAGAAAATTAATTTAAGTATATTAATTTGAGAACATTTGACTGCCTTAAAACCAGATTTTCCAATGGGACAAAGCAAAATGATCTCGTTTTAAGGTTTTCCTTGGAATGAGAAAATAAGACAACATTAGACTAAATGTCTTGGTCCCATTGTTGAATTCTGTTTTAAAACAGCCAGAATGTACTCAAATTAAGATTCCAGAAACACTTTAGTTTAGCTTTTTTTTTTCTCATACATTATCACCTTTTACTTTGTGGTATTTATTTTTTAATCTGGCCTTTGTAAATTCAGATATGGACGATCTGTGGCTCGGTACAGTACACTGTGTCAGAGGCCGATCTCCCAGCCTGAACCTTTCCCGGAGCTGCCTTTTGTCTCTCCTCCTGTTTCACACATTCCACGGTAGCCTCCACAAGATTAGTCACAACACTACGTTCACAAAAGACGGATAAATCAAGAAAATATGTTATTAACATTTTTGCATATCACCGACGCAGCATATGCCCTTGTCTGTCGCGCTCCCGTGCCTTCTCAGGACAGCTGTGAGAGAAGCCCAGACTTTGAAATGAACAGGAGTCAGCAGACGCCTAATGCTCCATCTTTGAGGCCTGACAAATGTTTCATCTGCTGCTGCAAGGTCAGGGTAGACTGTGTGATTATAGGCTTTTATACCTCACTGCTTTGCACATAAAAGTGTAGGCACAGAGAGGCAGAAAGAGGGGGCGGGGTGCACTTTTCTCTGCACAGCTGTGTTATGGCACGGAATCAAATAAGACGAGGGGTAGACAAGGATGAGGTGGTAAAAATAGCAGGAATGGGTTTTTGGTTTGTACTGTATGTTCTTTTCAATTGGTCATCCGCCCCCAACACAGATCACGGAATCAACACAAGAAATGCAGCGACAAAAACACGCAGCCATTGGTCCATTTCCAAAGAGCAGATGACCAATGTCCATAAATGTTGAGAAATGTCGACGCTCGCAGAGGATAAAAAGTCCGTAGAGCTGTACCACCGTTCGACTGGAAAATTCCCCTTGTTCCCGAGGACCGTGAAGGACTCTTGGACGATCAAGGGGGTGAGTTTGAACAATTTTCCACAGCCCGTGGTTGGGGGAGCTAGCAGTTAAGCTAAATTAAAAGTTAAAAGAATAATGGTAGGATTGAATCAACACCTTTCCAAACTGAGCTCCAACGCGTACAAACAGAATTGCAAGCTTGCATCTAAATCGAGTGCACTGGTGGTAAAGGTATAAACCTTCTTTGAGGAGAATTATTTGATTTTTTTATTTATCATGCAATGATTATAATTTGTTAAATACATTATTCATTTTGAACACATTTACTGCCTGTGTTTTTCATTATTAATACAAGGTAATATTTAGGTTACGGTACACGTTTTGATTTGTCTAATATATTTTATTCCGGGAGGCCTCATGTTAATAATTGAAAGTGTGAGGATCATACTTCTAATCTAGACAATTGGTTTTATACATTGGAATGTCTCTTTCCCCATTTAAGTAATACAACGAGCCGGGTGGTAAAAGGGTTACATTGAGTTGAGTGGCATTTTATTTTTTGTTTATTTGGTTGGGACAGTAAATGTTGATGAACACATCACTCCGGATTGTCGACATGAGCTAATTTCCATCCGTTGACCCACATTAACGCTTACAAACACACACTCAATCACCCTGAACTATTGCACATGTTTTTAGTGATAGGGGAAACCGGAGTACCTGGAGGAAACCCACGCAGACAGGGGAAGAACATGCAAACTCCACCCAGAATGGCCCTGTTCCGCCTAGGATTGAGAGAGGGATCTGCTCTCATGGACGGGCAGGCTGTGGATCCAGGACTCAGGCTACAGAGCGAGGACCAAGGCCTGCAGGACATAGGCTGTAATGATGTGTTTTTTATCACTGCATTTCCTGCGTTCGAACTGCTCGATTCTCTGATCTGTGCTGTCGAATCGACAGCTTTGTAAACCAAAATACATGTTTCAAAGAGACACTGCGTGATTTGCTGCGTGCATGTGATGTTAAACCATGGAGCAGTCTTCCTCATGATGGCATTATGCGTCACATGTTATGCAATATATCAGAAGCCAAAAAAAAAAAATTGCTCCAGGCCGAGGGTTGGACTGGTTTAATGGGTATTAAAAAATATTAATAATAATAATAAAAGCTTCGATTTTATATAGCCCTTCTTTGAACTATCAAAGATGCTTCACATGTGTCATTATTCATTCACTCCAAACATGGTGGTGATTAACTAATACTGTAGCCACAGCTGCCCTGGGGAACATAGGCAAGGCAAGTTTATTTATATAGCACAATTCATACACAAGGCAATTCAAAGTGCTGAACAGAATAAGAAAGCATTAAAATCATAAATAATCACAGTACATTAAAAAGAAAGATAAAAATATAAAATCCCTCAGTTGTATGCACAGTTAAACAGAACTGTCTTTAACCTGGTTTTAAACATTGTCAGAGAGGAGGCCTGTCTCACATCTTCAGGAAGACTGTTCCAGATTTTAGCAGCATGAATCTGAAAAGCTGCCTCCCCATGTTTAGTCCTGACTCTGGGCACTAACAGGAGTCCAGTCCCTGTGCTCCTCAGAGTCCAGGCTGGTTCATATGGGACTAACATGTCACTAATATATTTTGGTGCGAGGCCA